GGAAAGAGGGCAGAGTGGCATTTGGGGAGGGTGCAAAGCTAATTCATGGCACCCCTGCCTAAAAGGTTGAACACCTTCCCCACCCTGAGCAATCAGCCATGGGGGGACCCAGGGTGCCTTCCCTCCCCCCGACCCAGGAGGCACCAGTTGCCGGGGGGGCGCCTAGTGTGCTCCCCAGCGGACCTGGAAACGAACCGGAAGTGCTTCTGGTCCACTTCTGGGGCTGCTGCCAAGCACACTGAGGAGCCCTCTGCGCTCCTGTGGAATGCTTCATCTGCCCCACCATCGCAACATTCACAAGCTGCCTGCTACCTAGAGGTATGTAGAAAAAACATTTAAAGCCGTCTGTCTGAATCTCTCCAAATAGATTCAGACGGTTTCAATTCAATTCAGATAGACTAGAGGGTCTCCCGATTTGCATTTGGAGATTCAGCCACCAAATTGGGCTGAATCTCCGCAGAATCAAATCAGGGACCAAAGCTTTGCACAGCTGTAGTAACCAGGTATGCATTAGTGTTGGGTGTATAATGGGCCACCTTTGGTGCAAGCCTTGAATTTACATCTACACATCCATAAGATGCCTTACGCACCCCTTACCTTTCCTTAGAGCTGTGGTTTTCAAACTTCTTAAAGTCACAGAACCCTTTCATATCACTTCTGCCCAGGGCCAGATGAACCTTTTAGTGGGCCCTAGGCCAGTCAAGACCCCTCTCCTCACCCCTGTGCTGCTGCCTGTAGGGCTCACAGCTGCAGCTAGGGAAGTAGCTGCAGCAGCGAGGCCAGCAGAAGGAAGGGAAAGAAAAAGGAAGGGAAGTGGACTGGGCCATTCATGCCATTGCTACAGAGGGAAGGACTGGGCCCCCCTGCAGGTCCCTAGTTTGCCTATGTATAAATCTGGCTCGGCTTCTGCTGTAGAAGCCCCCTATCCTAAAGACTGACATCGAGCCAAGCAACCAATTCAGGCTGGTGGAACCATGTTTCACCAGCCTGAATTGGATGAAGAAAGGTACTGTAGAAGCTGTTTAAGGTATCTGTTAGGCAGGCATACAGGCACTTAAATCATGCAAATAGTACTAGCTACTTGCTAAATCCTATTGATCTCAATATTAAGGGTGCTAATAAGTATGGCTGCTAATTTTTTCAGGAGTAGTCTGCTTCAAGCTTTTCACACCTCATTAATGCTCACTTATACTGTTACCCAGAACCTCTGCTCAGCTGTTCACACCTCATTACAGCTCCTTAAATGACTACTCTGGGAGTCTTGCTTCTAGTAGCAGCCTTGAAATTAACAGGAATAGCCAGTTTCATGGTTGCTAATAACAGGGCTCTGACAGTGGTTGAGATGGATTAGAAGGATTAACTGCCTACCCCATGGACTATTTTTGACTGCCAAATGAGGCCACTAAAGTGCATCTTAGATTAAGTGTATTGGTAGATTCAGTCACTTGACCCTTCCCAAGATAAATGTGGAGCCCGATCTCTACCACAAGTGACATTTGCACGTTTTGTCAAGTTTCAGTGGCAGCTCCTGGGAACAATTTACATACAATCTGTTCTGACAGGAACACTTGCTGAAAGAAGGCATGGCCTGGCTTGACACACAAGCCCCAGAAGAATCTCAGTACTGGTTACCAGCTCTCTTTACAGAGCTCTACTCTCAAGAAATCACGCCAGAGGAAGCCAAGGAGGCAATACCTTGACTGC